TAATTTAAATTATAATCAGATTGAATTAAGAATTTTAAAAATTGTTTACGTCATGAGTCACTACAGTACAACGAGTCACACTGATGCGACACTGTGGTTGACACCTGGAATGGTAGGAGAAATGAGAAAGTTTGGCTGTACAGCTGGAACGAAAAATAACGTAATAACAAGCAAACGAAAAATTTTAATATTTTGTTTATATTTTTTTATTTTTTTATTTCAGTCAAATTCCATGAAATATTACCTGAACTTGAAACATCTTCAAAGATTTAGGAAACTGCAGTACTGTTCTTAAAATCATGGCTGTTCCTAACATATTCGCCTTCTGCAATTCATCGACCCTGGTATCTTCATTAATTCATTGTAGTAGTCGCTGTTGGTTTCTTTCGACCGTTCCGAGAGTACCGATTATTGTAGGAATCACTTTTGTTTGTACTCTCCAGATCTTGTGTATTTCCGTCCTCAATTTTTGATATGTTAGTATCTTTTCTCTCCCCATAACAACAACGTTGCCTTCATTCAGGCATGCTATATCAGTTATTTGTTCCAAACTGTGTGATATTTATTTTTCAGTTCTGGGAAGTCAAAAAGCGTCTTCATTTGCTTAATCTCTTCCACTGCTTTCGCTAGATGTTTCCACCATTGCTTTGCCACTTGGGTGGTCGGCTCGCATGCACAAACTCTAGCGAACCATGCTTGCAACGCTGCCATGTTTCCCCTTCAATTCCTGATTCGGTCTCATACTTCATTTGCCCTACTCTCCACCTCGCATGTGGCTGCGTATGCAAGATTCGCGCTTTTACGACTTCATGTTCAGTAGCTGGTTTTGGGCGGCTATTAGTAGGGTTTCCGTTTCGTCAAGGAGTTCACTGCTTGAAAGATAGTTGAAAGTCTATGGATGTCTTCAATGAGTTGGCAGAGATATTATGCATGAGGTTCTTTATCCCTCCAACCATTACAACGAGCATTCTTTACATTTGCCTGATGATTTTCATTTTCTGCATTTTCAGCTGTTTATTGTTCTGATTTCCACAGGCCGCTAACCTTTACGCAGGTCAGTACCAAAGCTTTCACTGCCGTTACCAGATATTACCTTAGGGATGACGTTTCTGGCTCCAGCCTGTCATTCATAATACGAAGCCACCTTTCTCCTTCCTTGTGGGGAGATTTGGCATCTATCCATATCTGCGTTTGGATTTACTATTCTCTACATGTTAATGACCTTTCGTATTATTTTATCGTTTTCCAACCTTTCGCATTGCATTCATTCCACGATACCTCGTTTATGAGGACACATTAGTACCTCATACTGCTTATTGGCCATAACTTTCTCTTCAAAATTCAAAGTATTTCGTTTTGTGTTCTGTCTTTATCATTAATTTCATTTTTTTCACGTAATATATTGTAAAATTCTAGCATGCTGCGTAGAACTGTCGTCCTTTCATTCCGTTTTTATTTTGCCAATCGCTAGCATCGCTTTTCTGTCTCTTTCTTCTTAATATCGAGTAAGGCACATTTGTCCAAACCGAATTCCATCCGGGTATCTTCGCAAATGATTTCTGCACCGTGGATGATATAATCCATCTCTTTTACGGATCTCACATATACAGTAGATGCAGTATCACACTACCATCTTTTCAAATGTATCCTTTCCTGACCGTACTCAGCATGCAACTGAACGGATTCAGTGTCACACAAAATAGAAGCTTCGAGATTTCATCTCCCTGGAAGACTCTTTACTTGATCGTCACTGATCTCGAAGACTTTGCTATATAGTAATGTTGTTCGCCATGATTTTATTTCTGCTTGGACGAAGTTCTTTTCAGTGATTGTGTTCTTTCTTTGTGATCTTATGTATTTCCTTTGTTAAAGAAAGTAAGGTTAGATTTTTCCTTGTGGACTATGTCATTATTCCATATCCTTCTTCAGAAGTAGAGCGATTCTTCTCTGTTATGACAGACGATCTCTGTATTACTTGCCAGGTTGTTCTTTTCCTCCAGTTTTCTATGTACGGTTTTAAAATTTGGAACGAAGGTTCTGTTCTGCTTTTACTGCTCAAGCTTGTAGTAAGAGCAGAACTTTGCCCATATCAGTCTCTACAGTCTCTGCTTAATGTCCTCGCATGTTCTTTTGACTGTTTTGCCCTCTCCGGTATTGTACTTTCTCGTGACATTCGTCACTGATTTCTTCATGTCTCGTCTATTAAATTGTTGGGTTGATTTCCTTCTCCGCGCGTTTTTTTCCTGTTTGTTTTTGATTCTTTTTAACTATGGTGACTCTTCTCTTTGTCTCAGATTTGTTTCCAGTTTTTTTCGTTATCACAGGAACTGTCGCATATATCACATAATTGATTGATTCCAAATTACCGGTTGATATCTTTCTCTTCAGGACTGTTAACTTGACTTATACATTCATGCAGCTGTTTCTCGCCTCTCGTATGTATCTTAGGTTCTTCAAGCCGTTCTAACTCCTGAAGAATTCCATAGCGACGCGACTTTTCTTTATC